AAAACACAGAGGGTTTAGGGTTTAGGGCCATATATACTACCTTTATGGAAGTGTAGGTCTTTAAAGGCCATGCTTGTTGCGGCTTTGGTGGGCTTGGTTTCGATTCAAGGTTCGGCATCGCCCACCGAAAACACTTAGTTTCACGCGCAGGAGTGTTCATCTATAGAGAAGTGTATCAATCAAAACTTATGTCTTTATGTTTTGAAAGGGCTTTCGAGAACAGCCTAGGAAGAGCAGCGTGTCCTGGAACTTGGCACGCGTGAAGCGAAGTGCAGAAGAGCCACGTTGTTGGGCGAAGATGGCGAGACGATTCACATCGATTTCTGGGGGGAGGCTTCCGAAGCTTCGTACAAGAATGCGGATATCCTCTGTCTGGGGAATGTCAAAGTCCGTGGAGGCCGAGATAATGACATCGATCACATGCTGACCACAGTCTCTTCGACCCGAATTCGCTCGCTAGAAAAAGGCACCACTTCGGCAACGGCGGAGCTGCACCGAGAGCTTTGCAGGCACATCTTTTGGTACATCATTAGTGTACTATAGCATCGTATAGTAGTGTATCATAACTTACTGTAGCATGTCAGACGTTGCCGTCTTTTGTTTTGCAGGCACATGGAAGACGCGCGGCATCGGCTCTCGGAGGTCAAACTCCGCAAAGAGGAGCTCGCCGCAAGAAGGGCGGCCCGCCAGGCTGCAAGGCTCAGGGAGAAGAAGCGACTGGAGCAGTTGCGCCTCAAAGGCAAGCTCAAGTGCAACTTTGGGACCGTTTGGGTACCATTTTTAGATTCTTATGGGTGCTTGAACTCAATAAGTGGAAGGGGAACTTGCATTTTTTTATGCCATCCCAACCATGAACTAGGCAAGGCATGCAAAAGGAAGATCATTGACTTTACTGCTACGTCTGACTGGGACACGCGAGAGTACCACAGAGCCTGCTGGCTTAGGCAATGCTGAGGAGATGAAAGCGACCCAGGCGTCGGCGGGCATCGTCGCGTGTACAGCAACGCTGCTTGTCGCCAGTGTCAAAAAGACTGAGTCTTAGGGTGTTTAGGGTTTAGGGTTTCGGGAGCTAACAGTTACAGCCAGTTCTCACTGGGCTAGAACATGCTGGTACACCATGATTCGGACCATGTCCGGACCTCTGCAGCAGACAAGTAGACATCTGCCATAAAGGGATCGTCTCTGTCCGCCCTAAGGGCCCTACTAAGTTACTAAGCCCCCGAGCCATCACGAACAATGGCACCACCCCCCTCCGAAAAGAGACCCCGAAGCAGAGCACAGGGCCTTTTTGACAGTTGGAACCTGGCGTGGTATATAGGGTTTGTTCTAATTTTTGATCTTCAGGAATTGACGGAGCAGTCATGCTGGTGGTTCATAGGCCTCTGCGTTACGTTCTCTTTTGAGTCCAACCCTGAACTCAGAAGCTTCGCTCAAAGTCAAAAAAGTCCCCAACTCATCTTTTTTGCACCCTGAATGCCGCCGCCTGGAAACTATTCTGAGTTGCGACATGCTGCAATGCCCCAAAACTCCCAAACCTTCATAAAAACCGAGTGTCTGATCCTAAACCCGATAAGCCCTCAACACCAGAAAGTAGCCATTGGCCATAGGCTCCATGGTAGTTCCTTTTTGTGGTTCATATTTAGGCTCCTATAAGGTAACCCCAAAAAGAAACTACTTTGGAGCCTATGGGTAGACCTTCCGGGCAGGAAGAGGCGCGGCGAACGCGGAAACAACCCAATGCCAGGTTGAGGGCCTCCCGGCAATGTGTTTGGAGCTTCAGGGTTTTAGGGTTTAGGGTTTAAGGTTTCAGTGTGGAGGATTCGGTGCTGAAGGCTTTTCGGAGTTTCAGGATTTTTTTGGGGGGCTTGGGTGGGCGAATGTTGATGCGGAGAAGCAAGTTTAGGAAGGTTGCTAGGTATCTCCTCAGGTTGCAGTATGATGGATTAAGATGCAGTTTGGCATCTGCCCCAGTAAGCCACCCGGACCCCAAGCGGCCTCATACCAGAGGCAAGAAATGACCATGCCGGTGATGGGCGAGGTCATCTCGGAGAGTGGGTCCGAGACGAGTGTATGAGTAGACTGAGTAGAGCTTTCAAGAAGATGCTTCTGGTATTTTCTGGTATCTTCTGAACCAAACTCAAACCTTGCAAGCTGCAAGAAGAAATTCCTTCTTGTGCGCGAGGGTGCCTGCTAGCATTGAGGCTGTAATTGCTTTCCCCGCGAATGGCTCCGGCAGCCGTTGTGTGGGTTTCCGGGTACGTGCAAGCGATTTCAGTGGCCGCTCGAGAGCTATTCAGCCGGATCCCCCCAATGACCTTCGAGCCCTGAACCTTATGCCTCTGGGGTGAGCCTGCTTTGCATGTTGTGGGTAGTAGCGCCTTAGTAGTGTCTGGTGGGAGCAATATGGCAATCAACTTCATGATGGTGATGACGGTGACGGTGACGATGACGATGATGATGATGATGATGACGATGATGATGATTGCGAAGGCGGTGGTGATGAAGCTGGAGCTGCACCTAAACTCGCAGTGGGCACGTAAAGACGGATTGGGGTAGTTCAGCTTCGGCGTCTCGAAGCTCAAAATCCAGGTAGTTCTGCAGTAATTCATATAGAAGCCTGGGTAATTAGCAATACAAGTCGCTAGGGGTTCTCACTATATCGATAACTTCGATAACTTACTCTACAGTACCCCAAAACCCTGTTCGAATCATTTATGCCCCCCATACTACAAACTTTGACCCCAAGACTGCTAAACGAAACCCGAGAGCCTCCCAATCCCAAGCCCATTAAGAACCCTTTCCAGGAATTAAGGGGCCCTCTACCAAAAAAAAGAAGGAAAGGTCCAGTGCTGTACTGTGACCTCCGAACCTCATGGAGATCCAAGCACTGTTTGCTTGGAGGGTATCTGAGGTAGAAGGATGAGGGTTTGGTTTTTGGGCTTTGCTAGGGCCTAAGGTATGCGGTTCCAAACCACGTGCAGAAACCCTTCCGTCGCATGTTCTTGCAGTCGCCGCTGAAATGCCATCATCTTCCTTTGCGGGAACACTGTTCCACAGCTGCCTGCCTAAATCCAAATCCTCAAGCCCTAAATCAAGGCGGACCGAGCCAGGTTGAAAGCCTCAACACGTCGTCTTCTGCTTTTCGCAGTGATTACCTCTATAAAGCTTAGGTCTAACCAAATCATGACTGATCTTCTAGACCGCAGTTTTACTTCCTCCTTCTGGCATAGACCTGGAAGGGCATATAAGCCCTAAGCCCTAGACCCTAGACCTGTAGCCCCAATTAAACCCTGCATGAGCGCTAAACCCCAACCCTGAAGCGTATGGCAGCTAAGAATCTTCGAACGGATGACGCAGGCGCTGCATGCCTCAGGGGTGCAAAATACCCACCCCAACAAGCGTGGCTATGTGCCGGAATTCGTCTGCCCCAGATCGGGGCAAGCCCCGGAACCTTTGCGTTGTCGGGCTGCATAAGGCATCAAGGGCCTTGTTGCAAAATCTGATAGTCTTAGAGGGCTCCAGAACAAGGTCTTAAAAGATCTTAAAGGTTCAAGACCGTAACCCTGAGCCCTAAACCCTAAACCCTAAACCCAAAAAACCCTAAACCCTGTACCCTAAGCCCCAAACCCTAAACCAGGTTTAGGGGCCGGGCCTGGATTCCCGGCAAAACGAGGCGCTCCAAACAAAGCTTGGTTTGGGGCTTAGGCTTTAGGGTTTAGGGGAAGTAGTGTAGACATTTCAAAGACGGAGTAGTTCTGAGAAAAAGGAATACAGCCACCACTCCCCTAAACCCTGATCCCTAAACCCTATACCCTATACCCTAAACTAGGCCCTAGACCCTGAACCCTAAGCCTTAAATCCCATAAGCCCTAAACCCTAAGCCCTAAACCCTAAGCCCTATAACCCTAAGCCCTAAACCCTAAACCCTATAAGCCCTAGACCCTATAAGCCCTAAACCCTGAACCCTAAAACCTAAGCCCTGCCCGATCCTGAGCCGTGGATCCGACACCTTTCCTTGAGAGCCCCGAGTCGAGTTTTAGGGTTTTGGGGTTTTGAAGGTTTTAGGGTTTCAGGGTCTAGGGCTTTGGGTTTAGGGTTAAAGGGTTCAGAGATTAGGGATTAGGGGTTCAGGGTTTCGCGCAAAGGTTCCGAGATCCAAGGCGCCTCTTGCGACGCTGTCGAGCGATCGGACAAGAACGGATGGCTTTGGTAGATACCCTACAGAGTTTAGGGTTTAGGGTTCAGGGTCTAGAGTTTAGGGTATGGGGTTTAGGGTTTAGGGTATAGGGTTTAAGGTGTATAGGGTTTAGGGTTTGAAACCCTAGCCCCCAAGACCCCAAACAGGGCGATGTTGGCCCAGTTTTTTGGTTTTGCTTCAGACCTGCATCCTTGAGCTCAGCCAATTGGGGTACCAAAAAGGAATGATGTAACCTTTCTTGGGGAATGCCGAGACCTTCGAGCGTGCGCCCGTGCTGAGGCACCTTGAATGTAACTACTTTGCTACAAGGTCCTGTCTGGACTTGGGTCCAGCCCCTTGCATGAGACGGCACAGAGTGTGGTGAGTCTTTAGGATTTAGGGTTGAGGGGTGTTTCTTCGCAAACTTTCCTTTTGCATACTCCCTCTTTAGGTTCCTACTGGAGCATGGCACTCGCGTGTTTTTTCAAGTCTCCATGTTACTTGCGCCAGAGACTGACTGTTCTGAAGCTTAACCCCCAAACCCGAACCCCCAATCCGAATCTTTAAACTGTAGAGTCTGTAGAGCTATAATTAAGCCCAGGCTGCACCCCTCAGCTACAGACTGCAATCCTTGAACAAAAGAGCTAAAATCCTGCAATGTCAAACAAGACCCGAAACATCAATAAGTGAGCCTTCAATTATCACATGTACTGCACCCTGAACCCCAAAACCTACGGGATCTGCCAGAAGAAAATCCACGGACACAGCGTTTCGACCCTGGGCTCCAGTGTAGGGTTTTAGGGTTTAGGGGCTTGGAGACCTTCAGGGCTTTCGCAATTTTAGGGCTTGTGGGTTTAAGGGCTTAGGGCCTGAGGGGCTTCCTCAACACTCTCTAAAGCCTTATCATTCATATATATATATATAGATATGTGTATATATATATAGATATATGTATATGTATGTATGTATGTATGTATGTATGTATGTAATTGCATTTATTTGTTAAAACCATAGTACATTCGTTGCATATGGTTGTTGTTCGGGGTTTTCGCCCAATTCGAGCGAAGACCGGACTTCGTTGAGTACGGCGGTTTCTTTGTTTGAGTATGGCGAGGGTTTAGGGTTTAGGGTTTACGGATCGCCACCCAGAGAACCCGACACCCCTTAATTAAGGAATAGACCTTAAATCATATTGATAAGGCCCCTATAATATACCCTAAACCCTAAACCCTAAAAGTTAATCAAGGGGTATTGGGTTCTCCAGGCATATTCAACGAAGGCCTGTCCTCGTTGAATATGGCATCCCGTTTTTCGCCAAATCCCCGAGTTCTGGGCTGAGGATTTACGTTTGAGGCCTAGGGTTTTGGGGCTTAGTGTTCAAGCTTTGTGGATTTGGGGATTCAGATGTAGGACCTCGATTTTTTGGTGCTTAGGGTCTAGGCTGTGCGGTTTTTGGGGGTTTAGGGTTTGGGAGCTTTGGGTTTGGGAGCTTTGGGTCTACGCCTTGGTTTTGGGGCGGGCCTAGGCTAGGGTCCAGGGGCCTAGGGCTTA